CAGGTGCTCTGACAGAACTTCATTTACAGCAACACAGGGCAAGCCAGATTTGGCTAGAGTGCCAGAGTTTGCCCACCACTAACACAGCTCAAAAACTGGAATCTGAGTATCTTTGGGCAGGCTTCTATTTGCCCATTCCTCACAGCTCTGTCCCCTATTTTACACTCCCATCAATCCCCTGTGTCTATCCGGCCCTAGTAATGATATTCGTAATCGCATACTTTCTTTAGACATACTGTGTGCTGGGCCCAAGACCTTGCATGTATTAACTCACTTAATTACTAGAGAAACCCAATCACCATCCTCATGAAAAAAGAGGCCAAGAGAACTTGCTGGTGCTCAGGAAGCTGACGGCAGAGGCAGGACTTGAACCGGGCCATCTGGCTCGAGTGTGTGTCCTTGGCCATTCTGCCGTGCTGCCCAGAGGGCACGGACAGTACAAAACAGGACAGCAGGTAACCAGGAAGAGACCACACCTGTCAGCTCCCGGAGTCCACCGCTTACCACAGGTTTACCCCATTCTCAGCAGCTAGGCACAGAGACTGGAACAGCAAGGGCCGCAAATGGGCTTAGTGGGAAGTGAGACTGGGCAGGGGGGAGTCACTAGAATCAGGCCCAACAGCAGTGAAAACGTGATAGCTGGCAGCCTGACAAGCATAGCAGGAAAGCAAAAGTAAAGGGGAAAAGGAATGATGCATTCACTGGTTGGCCAGGGAGCCAGTGCCAAGCTCCTCGCGCCATCCCAAACCCACCAAGGCCACGCTACCTGCAGCGCACTTTCGTCAAAAGCACATCGGCACCCCCGAGGATGCCTGTGCGAAATGCAGGGTCTCTGCCCCAGTCCAGAAGGTCCGCATCAGCATTTTCACAACATGATGGGCAATTCACGTGTAATAGTAAGTCCGAGAAGCCCTGCCCTTGTGGTTACTGTCACTGCTCCCATTTCACAGGCCAGGAGCCTGAGGCTCGAAGCAGTTAAGTACCTCACACGCTGGTGAACTGGCAGGTGTAGGTCTGAATCCCAGAGCGTCGTTCAGAGGCTATGCTTATGCCCCAGAGGAGCACGAAGCAAGACCTTCAAGACATGTACTTTCACAGCAATCACGCATCATAAGTAATGAGGACTTCACAGCAGGATCACAAATATGTAAAAGGCAGACCCTGCATCATCCATACAAGATTCACTTATGCTCTGGATACAGGTTTTAAAGAAATATGGAAATAAATAATACAGGTAAGCCACACTTCAACTACTTTTAATTTCCACAATTTTTTTAAATGTCTTATTTTTACAAAATCGACTAATTTTTGATTTTAATAGGATATGGAGGGGTTTTCGATTCAGCCACACTAGACAGACTTTTCTTGTAGGCACGTGTTAGTGGACGCAATGATCAGACTGCCCCAGAGGCAGATATCCAGAACCCAGCGCCACAGGTTCCTGGGCTAACACGGACCTCTGTATTTGGGATTAGGCTGTAAGCAGTCTCATGTAAGGGTCTCGGACAGTGATGCTTCCTAAGTTGGTGCCTTTGGGATTCTGGCAGCAAGGTCCTCTCCCACATCTCTACTGCATACCAAAACAGCAGGACAAGACCACAGGGTACCTCTGCCATGAAATGGGAGCGGAACTAAGGGGAGCTGAAGACGTAGCCCATTCCTTCTTAGCCTCTACTTTTAACAGATCACGTTTCCTGACAGGCATCTGCAATGTGGGGAAGACATACATCCTTGACAGGACCACGAGGAACAGCAACCACTCAGGATACTGCAAGTGAAGAGAGTGTGATAAAAGGATGTATGAGCTACAAAAAAGAAAGCTTTGCAGAACTCTGGGCCCTACTTTCTCTTTCTGTCCACATTGCATGGGTTGTTTTTTTTTTTTTTAAGTTTTTTTAATTTATTTATGAGAGACAGAGACAGAGATAGCAACAGGGATCAAGAGCGAGTGGGGAGGAGAGGGAGAAGCAGCCCCCCCGCTGAGCGGGGAGCCCAACGAGGGGCTCCATCCCAGGACCCTGAGATCATGACCTGCGCCGAAGGCAGCCGCTGAACCATCTGAGCCACCCAGGCGCCCCGGGTGGGTTGCTTCTGTCTGTCCTTCCTACCTGGCTCCTCCAGAGCACCCCACCTCTCCTCCCTGCAGTTCTGCTCCATCATCCTCTCAACAGCAGCCTCTCCCTTTCCAAGTCTGTCGTACTTCCTTATCCCTGCACTCCTGGGAAGCTTCTGCCTTGGCTTCATCACAACTCTGGATGCGTCTTTTTGATTTCCATGCCCACGCTCACTGTCCCTCTGTTTTCCAATGCCGAGTGAAGAATCTCATCGACCCCGTGTGGCTTTCGGAGCCACAACCATGGCTGCCAGCCACCAAGGAGCTGGACTGCCCTGGGTCAGAGGACAGCCCTCTGAACCAATCAGCCAAGGAGGGAGGGGGCATGGGGTGGTATCTCCCACTCAAGTGCCCCAGCAGCTGGGGGAGACTCCCCCGGAAGAGGGGAGGACATGGGATAGGACGGAGGGCACGGCAAGTATCTTCAGGATTTCGGTGAGTTCTAGAATCTGCGGGAGAAGGTGGAGCTCCACAGACGGTCAGCAACAGTCCTGTGCCTGCCCACACGCCCCCACTGAATTCCTCAACCCCCCGGGATGGACGGCGTCACCCCCCTTTCCAAAGAGGTCAGAGGCACAGGAGATTGGGTGGGGAGACAACGGGGCAAGGGATAGGAAAAACAATATATGCAACTTCCCGCTGGCTTAAGTTGGTGATGAATGCTACTCTGGGAACGTGGGCGTAGGGGCATCACCCTTCCTGCACCTGTCTTCTGTGCACGTTCACTGGACACTGTGGGCACGGGGAGGCTTTGTAACAAGTAACAATTCTCACATCCTGTATCATGTTGAGAAGTCTGACATGTCCTGAACCTGTGTAAAAACTTCACAGAATTTGGCACTTTCTGGGGCCTTTCTCATCAAAGAATACTGAGCAATGATGATACAGAAAACTGAACACTCTAGATTTGGGGTATTCGGAAAAAAGACTAACGTGGACACACTGCCACTCAGACTTTTTTAATACCTGGATGATGCACAGTGAGAGGAAGGGTGGGTCATCTGTGGAGTTTCAGAGGGACTTCAAGTCATGCCATAAATCACTTGGGCCAGCACAACTAACTCTTCTGGGATTCTGACTGGCTTCAAGAAAATCATTCTTTTAGTGGCGGTATTACTTTATCCAAAAAAAAAAAAAAAGGGGGGGGAGGGTGACCAAGAAGGTTTCAGAACCAATTTATTATTTTGTTTTTCCAGGGAAACTGAAAAACTGCCAGAGGCACCTAAAAGGAAGCTACCCTTGCTTCCAAAACAGAAGTGATATAATTGCAAGGTCAAGTCCACATAGACATGCAAACTATTTTCTTTGAGCAGGTGTGGAGGAGACACAGAAGTGAGGCCTTTTTTTTTTTTTAAAGAGCCCATGTCTTCCTAAAACCAGTGCGGTGATTCATTTACTTCACAACTGAGAACGAGAACACCCCACGCGTCCTTTTGAGCCTGTGTGGCTGAAAGTCAGCTGAAAGATGCTCTGTTAACACCGGGCAGGTTTTGATGCAAAGGAAGCTAAGGTGTGTCAATTGATGGGAACATGTTAAATAACCACCTAGAGTCTTGACTGATTTTCTTTCCCTCAGCAGAAGAAAACACGAAATAATACACGTAGGAATCAATCTTATTTACCAGCTGAGGTCTCTCAACCTCGGCACTGCTCACATTTTGTGCCAGGTAATCCTCTCTTGTGGGGTTGTCCTGTCAGCAGCATCCCTGACCGCTACCCACTAGCAGCCGAAGGCAACTCCCTCCGTTGTGGCAAAACCCAAATTGTCTCCAGACATTGCCGAGTACCCCCTGGGGGTGAAACTGTCCTCCAGTGAGAATCACTGTACTAAACTAAGAGAGAATCCTAGCTGTTTATAGCAAAAACAGCTATCTGGAATTAAATCAGCTTCCCTGGAAATAGGCCAATTTAATTGTCCCTCCGGCATCCTTTGCACTGCCAAAGTAAAGAGAGGGCAGCATGGCTTTTCTTTTTCTGAACGTGGGGTCAGAAAACCAACAGCAGGGATTCTGTACCCTGTACATCACTTGCGCTCACTCAGTGCTTGGATTTCTAACTTCCTTAATAAAGGAGACGTAACAACATGAGACCCCCAGTACCTGATCATTCTGGAAAGTGTTAACTTTTATATTTCGGAAGAGGCATGTTTTGAAGTCCTGGAGACTATTGTGTCCTGTGTAAACACGGCCTCAATCAAAATGATGGCACCGGCACACAAAGGCGGACTTCCCATATAAAAAGGTTTGGAGGTCAGACCTGGGCAACAGGTCACACTCCAGTCCAACTCCTCTCCCACTGTACCTCCCCCAGACGGACTCTGGAAATAATCCGAGAGGCCCCAAGGTCCAACGCTTTTGGGAAACCTGTCTCAGGCTGTGGCCAAGAATGTTGTGTAGTCCCAGATCTCCCAGAACAAAGTGCCTGGAGTCAGCCCTGGTGGGTGTTTTCATTTCACGGGTAGTTCAGCCCTGACCAGTGGGGGGCTGCTGACCGCAGCTAAAGGCTCCCCAGGAACGCATCTAGAGAGCGCTGCCCTACCCTTACGCTGTAAAGGGCTCTCTGTGCAATGCCTGCTCCAGAAAGATACTGGCCCCTGTGGGGTCCTAGCTTTCAGAAGCAAGTATAGGACGTGAAAGAAGCTATAACGTGCCACTCCCAGCAAAGAGCGGAGGGCTTTGCTAGGTAGCCATTGTGCGAACGAGCAGGGACAGCCTTTATTAGATACCCAAATGCTGAACAACCGAATCCCAGCACAGTCTTGTTTACTTCTAAGCAGATCCCATTAAGCCCCGGGCACTTGGCTTGATTACTCCCTGGATCAAAGTTAAATTAAATTACCCAACAAGCTTCATTTCCGAGAGAGTGACGCGCACACAGACTGACTCACCTTCCAGAAGCTATCCACTTTGCCATACACAAGGGACTGGTTCTGCCTTTTGATTTCGTTAATGTGGTGGATGTCGCTGGAGTTGAGGTGCTGCTCGACCACAAATCCCAGAAAGCTGTTGTCTGGGGTATGAGCTGATGTGGAAAGGAAAGGACAGGGGAGTTAGGATTTCACTGGCAAGAAGAAATGATTATGAGTTTGATATAAGCCATCATGCACATAATTAAATGTTTTCATTTTACCCTGTACTTTCTTACCTGGGGAGGGGGAGGCAGGGGACTGCCTACTCCCACATACTCCCAGCAGACCCTTCACATGAGAATTGTCTCCAGGATGGATTAACCTGAACCAAATGCCGAAGGATAGCCTGACCTTCCCCTGCCCCCGCCCCCCAGTAAAATGCGTCTGTCCAAAAAGCATTCTGCTGTGTCTTCTCCGCCCTCCTGTTTGCTCAGCACAAGGCCACTGTCTCCTGACAGCCATGCTGCCTTCCAGGTGTGACCAATAAATGGCCAGAGCAGGGTTGAATCAAGTGTTCTCATGGAGGGTGAGGCCGCTGTTGGTAGCTCACACCATCCAACCCGATGTCAGCCGGGGAAAGGGGGATTTGGGGGCAAAACGAGTCAGTATCACCCCGACGCCGCACCTCCCCTAAGAATTACTCACTAATGAGAGAGATAATTATGGAGCTACACTGAACAGATGGAGGGAACGAAGACAGAACGAAAGGTGAAACTCACTGGGATGTGAGCCATCCCACAAAGCCACCCACCCCAAGGAGCAGTGTCTAGTCTATAAAAAAGACTATTAGAGACAAGAGAGGCATTTTCCTCCGGATCGCTCATCATGTGAGTTCTAAAACTTCTCTATTTTAAATAGTTGGTCAAGGGGTGGGGGGAAGCAACCCCATACCCCCCCTCAAACATTTCTCTCTTGTGCCTATAATTTTAAGAGGAATTTCACAAAGAAGGCAATAATCAGGAAACAATCCTCTGTAGTTGAAACAGAGACCGCCCTCTGCTACACATTCATTCTGTCCGGAGAAATGCGTTTTTCAGATGACCCTGAAGAGGCCCCACAATATTAAATAAAGCGACTGTGCTGCTTGACTCTGCCCTGAATAGAACAGCTATAAATACCTAAAGGGAGAGATACTTGATATTCAGAAAAATCCACACATGCGGCTTCAACCGTACTCCTTCACAGGTAGGTGGTAAGCACGCGGAGCAAGGTGGTTCCTTTGTCTTGCTCTGGCTTTCTCAGGACACAGGAGCTCTTTCCCAGGCAGGAGGCCGGGAAAGATGGGCAGGGGTAGGCCTGTGGAAAGGCCTAGGAGCCTGAAGCCCTGGGCCTTGCTCTCCTCTGCCCCGCTCACAGACGAACGAGGGAACACCACCAGCGGAAAGCCGCGAACTGTGGACATGAACGAGTCACATAAACACTGTGTTATCATCATCCAGTCTCCCAGGCTTCTGCCTAATGGGGGTGACAGAATGAGGAGATAATAGGGTTGTGACTGGGGAGTTGTGTTCGGCCTGGCCAATCTGTTATTTCATTTCTGCGTTTTTGAACAAGTGCCCAGAGGCAATGGCCACAGCTGGCTGGAAAGTAAATTGGTGAATAAATTCTACTGCCAACAAGGGGCAGTGGTTGCTTTTCCTTTCTTTTTGAGAAGCTGGTGGTGAGGGACTTTGAAGGAAGATGAGGGAGGGGAAGAGAGCCCCTCTACATCTGCAACGTCAATGAGGCAGCTTAGAATAGCTCTTTGCAAAACTCTGGGGTAACTGAAAATTCTGAAATAGAACCTGACACTTTAAACTTTGAGACTGCGGGTTTTTTTTTTTTTTTTTTTTTTTATTATCTTCGGAAAATGTTATGTGGTGACTAAATCTCCATGCTTTAGATATGGGTTTCTGAAATTAAGTTATCTAGTCCCTAGACGAGCACTTCTCTAGAAAGGTGAAATTTGACTCGACCACCTAAAACAACGTCACAGGTGGGAAAAATGCCAATATACTACGGTAGAGTCAAAAGTAAAATCACCAAAGCCCCCAAAGAAAAGAACTCCTATATGCATGGATTTTTGTGTCAAAGATTTCCGTAGCTCCGAGCTCGGACAGTGAAGAGGGAGAGGGAGAACATGCTCTAGTCAAACACCTTGTGAGAAGTGGTGGGCCTTCACTGCTTTAGGACTGTAATTTGGCACTAAATCAATTTTGACACCGTACGAACAATCACAAACACCTGCTCTTCTCCTGAGTTTTCACGAAAACCCTTTATTTCCGCTCCTCTCTCTGGTCTGGAGGTGTTAGGTGGGGGATGGGCAACCTGTGAGCACCGGTAAGAACCGTGGATGACCGGAGGAGGAATTCCACACTGCCACTCTTTACCAGCACCAGTCACACCCTCCGTGTGTCTTCCTAGGGGACGCTGAACCTGTCACGGGACGCTGGCAGGGGTGCCAGGAGGGGTCACTCAGCTGCAAGCTGCCCCACAGGTGATTTGGAAGAGGCCACAGGCCCTGGGGTAGCTTCCTTCCGAGGAGCTGGCCAGCAGCTGGGTACCTGCCTGGTGACATCGTCCCCGAGGGCCCTGGACTCAACACACGTACTCCTAAAATCACTTATAGTAAGTCAAAAGTCACAGAGAGAGGCTGATGCTATCCAAAAGGACCTTTCTGTGGAGATCTAACTCCAGCCCAAGCTGTCTCTTTTTCTCTGAGGACAGGAACAGAGAGTTTAATTATTTGTGTTGGGAGGTTGTCAAAGAGAAGGTATTCACATGTCAAGGTGAACTTTAGAAATTTCATCATAAATGGGACACAGGAAATGCTGCACATTTGGAAATCACTCCATCCCAGGAGATCAACAAATATGATTGTTTTAAAATGGCTAATATTTGAGTTCTATGTGTGGAGTTCTGTGCTAAGGGCTTTATAGTGACTATTCGATTTTATCGTCATGACAACCTTTCACCAACATGTTTGTAGGGATGAGAAAGTTCGGGACAGGGTTGGGGCAGGGGAGACACTTCTACCCTCGTCTACATGCTAGGAAATGGCAACGTTGGGACTCAGAACCAGACCGGCTGGTCCCAGAGCCCAAGCTCCTTAAAGCATCCTCACATATAACTTCGTAGTCCAAATAGTTTATCTTCTGGGCTCCATGAACTATAGTGGTAAACATGCTTCAGAGGAAAATAACATTATAAGGTAGACCAGAATACACATGAAAGACCCAGGGGGGGAAATGTAGTAAGATCACCTCACTTTCGTGAGTGACTTATGCTACACATATGGAGGGCCAAGCAGATTCATTTTACATGTGACAAGCAGAAGGGGATTTGCTAAACATTGACAGTGGTTTTAAAATAATTTAGGACTTTTTTTTTAAGAAAAGCATTATTTTAACCACTTTGGAAGCACCTATTTACAAATGATTACAAATCAGCTTGATGAGGTTCCTGAGCAGATTACAACGATAACTTCTTTTAAGCACTACTGGGAGTTTGGCTTGAATAATTCATTCAACCACAACCATTTTAGAGCACTCCTTCTAAAAAACCAGGTTAAATGCTAGGTACTGAAAGATTACAACATCAAGATGAGTTTCTGCCCTCACAGAGCTTACCAAATACTTAATAAATGAGGTGTACGCAATTTCTACCAAGCCATAATAGCGTCCTCATTTCAAATGTAATTAAAAAATTTTATTCAGTCAAATCGATCCTTTTCTCAGCACCTGAGTCTCTGAGGTCTGCCTTTCCACCACTAAGTCCTAAGCACTTGCACCCAAAAGTGCAAATGTTCATTTTAATAGGTGGTCTGCTGGCCTTAACCACAGCTGGCCCTACCGTGGTGGGCATCCCCACGCCAGCAGACCACCAAGGGCAGAAACCCTAAAACCAGCCTGGGCTCCTCCCTCAGCCCTCACCCAGCCCTGAGGATGTCAGCTTCCCCAAATCTCTCCCCTCTCCCTCCTCTACACCCTTCCTAGTTCTGGCCTCATCAATTCTTGTCGAGACTTCTGCAGTAGATCGGTTTTCTTTTGCCTTATTCAAATGATTACTTATTTAGGTTTTCTTGATTATAACAGAAATATATCCTTTGTGTAAAATTTTATCAGACAATAAAAAAAGATGTAAGAAAAATAAGAGATCTATCACCTAGAAATAACCACTATTACTGGATTTTTAAAAAATATTTATTCATTTATTGGGGGGGGGCAGCACGTGTGAGAGTGGATAGGGGCAGAGGGAGAGGAGAGGGAAAATCCTCAAGCAGACTCCCTGCTGAGCACGGACCACCCCCCCCGACATGGGGCTCGATCCCAGGACCCCAAGATCATGATCTGAGTCTAAATCAAGAGTCAGATACTTAACCGACTGAGCCACCCAGGCAACCCATGGACTTTTTAAAATACTCAAATCAATACTGGATCCTACTATACCTACTCTCTTGTAAACTTTTTTCACATACAAATGTGCCATAGGCATCGCTGTGGGTTAATACCCACAGCTCATCACTGCTTGTTAAATTAGTATAGTATTTCAGCGCATGAGCTCTTTCCATCAGCTGGGATGCCCCATGGTTCTGGGTCCGCCAGCACTGCTTTATGGAACCACACTTCTCCCAGGCCATGCGATTCTGTCTCGTTCAGGTGGTTGGATTGGTGCCAGTCCTGACCCCTTGGCTGCCCCCTCTCTAGCCTCTTCCAAGGATGGGCATATGGTACAGAGGACTCTTCCTGACCATGGCTCATTTGAAAGATGGGGGTATGATCCAAGTCCCGCCAATCACAGCTGCTCTAAGACTAGTCAGAGCTACTTTTGAGGTCATGGTGTCTCTGCTACAGTCACCAAGCTGGCAGGGTGGAAGTCGAGGGCTGCGGATGTCATCTGTGTGTCCATGGGAGAAGGATGCCATGCAGAGAAATGCAAAGCCAAGACAGGGAGAAAATAAAGATATCCTGCAAGCTCAAATTCAGCTCAACCTAAAGCTGGTTTCAACAACTCCCAGGGACAAGAGCCAATGAACCCTTGTGACCAAGTCAACAAGACAGAAATCCTGACGAGTCCACCCTATGAAACGTTTAGGACGTTTCCAATTCTTGCCTATCGAAATCAACTAGTATTG